GTCGTTCAGACGGACTGAATGGCGGACCACCATAAGCGCCAGCGTTCCAGAACGGACGGGATCGAGAACTCAGTGGGGATGGAGGAGGAGACCAACCGGTTGGACCGAATCCGGGAAGAAGACTGGGCATCATGTTAGCGGAGGCAAACGCGGATGCCCCAAAAGGTGCACCGTAGTCAGACGGATCGGTTGGACCAATGGATAATGACTTCGGATCTGTCCCTGTGCCACCGTAGCCGGACATTTCCAAATCGTTCATTCCTACACCACCTACTCGGGATTCCAGTTCTTCTACCCAATGTTCAGCATTCTGCTTTTCTTCCTGTAATGTGAAGGCAAACCATAACTGACGCAATTTGAACGCCGAAAATCTACATAAAATAATCATTCCGAATGGAAAGTTGTAAAAATGCTAGAGATCGACAGACTGAGATTGACAAGGTAATAACACACAATTAATCCGGTCGAGCTATCCATGGAACTGCACTTCGATCATTATTATCGAGTCGGTTATAAACCTAAAATTCGGTATTTCTGATTTCTCAGTCTCTAACGGTTTCGACTGACATCTTTCACGTGTAGAGGCGAGCGCACATACAAGAGTGCGATAAACATTTGCAAACAAACCACTAGAAAACAATTGCCTAAGCATTACAACTAGAACGAGACACCATCACATACACACGTACGAAATGCATACGGGTATCAGTTGGGGCCCAACTCAGTTCCCACAACGACCGGGGTGCACATTCACATGCTGACGCTTTCAATGCACGACTCACAGTTTGCCGTTTGTCGGTGAAATCGATCGACTCGTGCACCGGAAATCACCGAACGAACGAAGAAACGAAATATCGACCTCTCTCTCGAGAGAGAGAGAGCACGGCCGCACAGTACTACACTCGATGTTTAGCACACAGCTCGATGAGTTGCATCTACCCAGTTACGCATTCGGAACACAGGCACGCACGCGCGTATGCGAGGGAGCAAGCGTATGCACGAGCGCGCGAAAAGTATTCCTAATGTGCGCGCGATGATCAAACAGGCGACCTGAACGGAGTGCACCGCATCCATGTTATCGTTCTGTGTCATTCATTAACTGTGACCAGATCGGAAACATTGGGGTTTATGGGTCGGTAGTGAAAGAGTGGCTCCAACATGTGTGTAGTAATCAGTCTTGCACTCAATAATGATGATGATGCTCATGATGATGTACTGATGCGTTGAGAAAGCTCATAAACTAATGGTAAGACATTATTGCGATTACAAACACTCAGACACACACACAATTGACACACGTTTTCATGATGACCAACTAACACACATGGAGCTATGTGTCAGATAACATCATCTTTGGACAAGAAGAATTGGTCCTCTATTCAATGGGCTAAGTCGCACCACACGGTAAATCTATTTAATGATCGTCTTCCGCTGCTGTATTGGCAGACTTCGAAAAATATAATTCGCCTCGTTCGAAAAAAATCACTCTTTTTTCGAGCGAACCGGATAATAGCTGTTCTTTTATCGAATCACGGATGTCACTGCCAGTTACTGATTGCACAAGCCCCATTGCACACGTATGAGCTAGACACACCCAACGTTCTGCCAAGGGGGATAACATAAACTGCCCTATTACATCGTAAGATTACCTGGCGAAGAGAGTGTGACATGTAAATCTAGCAAGCACCAACTTACTGCACACCTGCTTCGACAACCTTGCCCGAGTCTCATTCACTGCAAATCTGTCGAGTGAACTGAAAAAATAACCGGACACCGCAAATGCATACTACACACTTGACAAATGGGGTGGGAGAGGGGAGCAGCTCAGACCTGTTGCTTTATCTTTTCCCCAATACGATATAACACAACCCATCCTGACAAGCTTGTTGTGGGTACCTCATTTCGTGCATTCTACGACCTATCTCCAAGGTTAAGACTTGGTTGGACACAAACCAAACCTCATTCCATGGGAGGATAATGAAGGATTTCAGTCGACCTTATGAACACCTCCGTCACATACAGGGCAAAGCAATCGTGAACTGAAAACTAATGAAACAGTGGATAGCTGTTTCAACCTTGTCTAGTCTCTTCAGGCCTCTGGTCAAGTGAGTAGTACCCCTAAATTTTACCTGCGAGGTCACGAGTTCATTAACTTCAATGGGTGTGCACTAAGAATAAAACTCCTACAAGGTCAAAACAGCCATACGATAGTTCTTCCTAGCGATTCCTTCGCTAATGCGTGCCATGAAGTGCCTCATGAAATCGAATTCAATCCTCCATCAATCCCTTGAAATTTGACCTTGGCTATCGAATGTACCAAACGCCGCAGTTCGCCGCCATGACGGAACATTGCACGGATAAAGTTCTTTAGCAATCCATGGATCGGGTTCAATAAAATCCAAACCAAGTCACAATGTCACTGTTTGGATATTGAACGCCAAACCTTAAACAAGATGATACACAGAATCTATGGGCTTACAAACATAAGAAGTAACTGACTGAGAGTTTTAAATGATCGGAAAATTTTACGAAGTTGGTACTAGTCATGCGATATTTCTTTTAGCTAAAAGAACCGACCAAAAGAAATAAGGCAAATCTGTGGTTAACAGAGTGTTTACCGGAAAAACGACCAATGTTCAGATGTTTGCCAGTTTTACGAACACAGATGCTCTTTGTAAATAGCTTCTTTTTTTGCATTTTTCATGCTTTTCAAGCACGTTCCGATGCGCTAGATCACCCTAATCTCTGACGATGCGTTTTCTTTGCAGGGCAGCTTAACAAAACTCATCTTCATCATCCAATTATTGTGTGTTCGTCGCCAAGTGTTGTTCGTTCGCCTGACACGACGACAGACGCGATGAAAGTTTCTCGGTCAAAACAAGTCCTTTCAACTTGAGCTCAATGGACTAGGTTTAGCAGTCGAGTCAAAATGTGGGCTCTACTTGACGGTTTGAGTTCCAAACACTCTTAACAAGTAACAAGGATTGGGGGTTCACTTAATCCGTTCTGGATGAACGGCAGAGCACACTGACATGTTTTATTAACTATTAACTGCACCTCATCCGACGGACGAACTGTGGATGAGGCCGCGCGATAAACACACAGAAATCTGACTTCAGCTGAACTGTGGTTTTCACACACCGCCCGGATACCTTGCGGATTTATCTGGTTCTAATTCGGAAGCGATAACACCATTGACGCATTTCCCTCTCTCAGTTTCTCGGGAACCCGGCTGATTTCGAAGATGGAGTAACCAAATCAGTTGGTTTCCCTTGCCAAACATTAGACAGTTCTGTGGTATACCACAGATTCGGGAGAGACATCTTCAATTACATTGATTTAGTCTTTACATGGACCGAGT